GGTAATGTCCTTCTGCCTATATCCTAGCCGCCTCGCGGTGAAGGCTCGAGAGCGAGCTCCAATGGCAATATGGAGGGACGATTGGTTCCTCTGACAGATCGGTGTACGTATCTATGCCATAGTGGTTAGTTTTTGGTCTGGGGATCCTTTATGCATATGTTTGGATGATTGATCTCATTCCAGCGTCTCGGAAGAATTTTCAGTTCAGGGAGCACCTCCTAGTAGTAACGCAGTCCTTCTGCCCTGCCCGCAGCCTTCCAGCACACAAAAACACTTCGTGGTTTGACCATTAACAGCTTGTCTGACTTCAAGTAATAAGGGCTATCGCTCAAATATAATAATGCCCAAAAAAGCAAGAGTGCCAAGGTGCCTAAAATATTAATAAAACATTATAATCTTGAGTTCTCGAGTACATAGCGATGAAGTTCCAGTCAAGAGGTCAGTGCGTTCAAACACAATCAGGGTCGGTCTAGGAAAAATGGAGGCGAGAGTGCTGAAGGCCAAAAATAGTCTGGCACCTTGCCGCCACTTCGCTTTTAGTTTCAACTTTGAAAACAGCCGATCTCTTAGAATAATACTATGTATAGTTTTTGTAAAGCTTCCAGCTCATCTACCCGTTTACTTTAAATTTCCAGCAAGCAACAACACCTTAGTGCAAATTGCTAAGAACATTAACGATCTTCCGACGAGTGCAACCATAAACTCCACAGAATATGAGCAATGGAATCTGAGAAAAATCATTGTCGATTCGAATGCCTTAAGTAAGTCAAGGAATTCTCATTTAAGATATGTGATTTGGAAGTTTTATTTTGCAAATTGCACACTTTAGGCATACGTCACAAGTAACCGTTGTACCCTGCCTGTCCCAACCCCTAGATTCAACCGGTCACGTCCTCCTAAATGCCTTTGATACCAGCTTTGTTAAAATTACGGCCCTCTTAAACAATACCTACATCAGTGCCAACATGCCAGTGAGGAACGCCTATGCGCCAGTCATCCGAAATGATCCTGACATCAAATTCCTCGAAAACAACGGCGACGCGCTGGCAACTGTGATATCAGCTATTCTACGTCGAAATCTCAATGACCTTGTGTTGATTTACGACGGCGAAACAGGTTAGAAGTGAATTTTGGAAACCACTTTTTAATCTTTAGCCAAATATAAGGAAACGTAAAGGTTTATGTATTTTCTCCTAAGAAATAGCGTGGTCTGAGGTGAGCTAGCCTTCGATACGCCTATAGCAGGAGGAAAAGACACTTCCCGTTTGCCATGCATCTTTAATCTTAAGCCGATTTTGTCGCTCATAGAACTACTAATTGTTAATTATTATGGCACGTTCTGTCGTCACTATATATCAGCTTTTTATAATAATTTTATATTTAATTTCCTGTTTTGGTCTGACATATTTCTTCAATTTCCTCTTCTGCGACCACGTAATGTCCCACTATTACCACCGGGTCCGTTTTACAGAATTCTGGGAGCTTGGCTTCTGAAGTGAACCCTATACTG